CTACTGGCAGTATAGTACATCATTGTGTACAGTACAAGCATGGCAACATATACCATCAACGGCTCTTTGTATGTTATCTCCCATGGATTATTCCTCTCAAGTCAACCATCAAGCTCTGCGGGTATGGCAACGTATGCACCACCACGCCACCACGTGCAGCATAGATTCTGCTGAAGCATTCGGCAGAGGCCGGGTGAAACGGGACACCCACATGATTATACTGTATCCTGTCTGTTCCTGATTTATTGTGACAGCAGAAACTCCCTGCAGAGCCATGTCGTCAGGTGCTAGGGCTTGTGCTGTGTGGGACACTTGATAGGCTTCAGGCTTTTAGTCAAGACCTTGTGAGAAAGTCTCCTGAGACGCTGCTGAGAACACTCAAAATCCTCATTACTAAATATACAACCGCATATCTACTAATGGCGAACGGAAACGGACCACTCACGTTTGGCTGGAAAAGTAGCAGCTGTGAATTTTTTTTGAATTAGGAATGCTTAAAGGGGTAATCCTCGAGATTCTCATCCCTCATCCCATTAGTTTTCCGCTCTGTTTTTGTTTATTATTTCACAGAATATCTCATGAACGAGGGAAAAGATTACAACAATATTGGCAATAATTGGAACATGGGATTAGTTTTAAGAGCTGATCCATAAATTCTTTAAATTATTCAACATTATGATATCGTATGTTGGAACAATGTTGCCCTATACTCATGAACACTGCACTCACTTGTTACTTGCCATGTATTTTATAACTGTTTATGTATATTTTCAATACATATCATGGTACAAACTCAGATTAAAACTGTCTTAAATGTTTTTTCATCATTACAACAACTGATTTAAAGGAGTGTGCAGCCTTGGTGGAGGCATGTGCTCCTTGACTTTGACACATTACTGACTCTTTCATAAGGTTAATTGGGTATGGCTCCCCAAAGTCGCAGTGAGATTATCATATTCCACACATTTCCTGTTAGTATAAAATGTGAGGTATGTTGATATTTTTGTATACAATCTGCACAGTCTGCATCTATCACAGTACAGTGGAATGATAAGAATGTAGTACATATCTAATGAATGGATGGGACATAGCTCAGGTGTTAAAAGAACAGTTATCAGTCTAGGCAGGATAGTTGGAGGCGAGCAGGGTCGTAACCGGGAGTTCAGGCAGAGAAACGCTGGAGAGTCTGGTGCAAGCATCGAGAACAATCTGGCAATGAATGAGTGTGGAGCAGGGGCTTAAATGCAGCCAGAGCAGAGCAGAGAGCACAAGTGAGTGGAGTTGGCTTGATGAGAGGGGTGTGTCTGATTGGCAGATTGAAGCAGGCAGGTGCAGAGTGGTGAGGCAGAGATGAACTGTGACACTGATATCATGCAATCATAGCTATTGAGTTTTTCAAATTTATTTTCTTTGAGCACCACAAGCAAAGTGCCATCAAGTTCCATTGGAAATAAGGCAGACATCTCTACAGCCGAGATCACCAACACTCGACAGCTCACACCAGAACAATCTAGGGTGATAAATAGCACCAAATATAAAAAATATGTATTTTTGATTTTGGGGTGAACTGTCCCTTTAACTATGTATGTGTTTGCATGTGTATGTATTTTCTTTTTGTATTATGGTGAAACCTGGGGACCTTGGGACGGCTCTATCCCAAAGTTATTAAGGTGTTTAGCTGTGGTTGTCAGCGCCATCTATCCTCAGTGATTCACTCAATCAGATGTGAAAGTGTTGCTTTTAAAACTCTGTCAGAAGTGCTTTCCTGTGTAAACCTGAGTAAACAGGGGTTTCTCATTGGTGTGGGGTCGAGTGGTGCCGGGTGGGGTGACTCTGGGCCTTGGCGTATTGTGTGTATTATGTACTGCTGTCAGCCTCCAGAGGTGCAGATACACAGCTGTCTGGGACACTTCAGGAGTCTGGACAGAGGGATTACGCTCCACAGCAACTGCATGCAATCCTCCCTTGTGTTGTACACTGGAACATCTTAATCATCGCTTATCGCTCCATTGTCTCACATCACATGGCACCATGCACAGCCCCGTGTACTATATCAGGGACGCCAGTGAACCTTCCTGCATATGTTGTTCCTCTTGTTTAGTAATTCTCTGCTGTGGAAATTACATTAAAATAGTTCTAATTAGATACTCTGCAGTAAATTATTCATGATACTATCTTGGTTTGTGATCCCCTTAAGGAATAATTGAAAATATACTTAATTAACACTTTCATTAAAAGCTTCCCTGAATAATGTGCAATTGTTGCTTTTCTTCTGTCAGCCATTACATGTAATTGTTGTAATATATGTTTGTCAGGGGGGAAGGGACTGAAGAAAAAATGTTACAGTTTATAGCGGTATCACCTGAACACAGCACTTTGAGCATGAAGGGAGGCATTATTCAGAATAAATGGATTATCAGGGAAACCAGCATAAATGACTCAATAAAACTGTTAAGCAGCCAGGCAGCCAGTGGTGGCCAACATGATTAATCACAGGCGTTCCAAGATTGGATTTATTTTGTCTTTTATTTCTCCTTTAATGACTAGCCGTGAACACCGCTCTTAATATATCGCCCATGTTTCTAGATTACCGGTGACTAATGAGGATTCAAAATGGCCGTTATCTACATTAATGTCTTTTTATTTGAAAAGTCAATACTGCCCATATATGTGTGTGTGAGGAATATTCTAGTGAGAGCGACTCGCAGTGATCCGTTATAGGCTTCCCAATTAAAAAGGGGTTCGGGAAAGCATTAATGAATGCTGGCATTTATGAGTACACAGGTGTATCGTATTTATAATTTTCTACCACTCTTGGTATTATTCATTCAAATAACAACCAGATCCACTTATCAGTGTATTTACAATCCCTCCACATACATCTGAATTATTAAAATGCTCCAAAAGTATGTTGCCACCTATTTTCTCCACAGAGAATCAATGTTCTGCATTCGTGGGATAAATGAAGCTATACTTTACATGTTGCTGTTTTCAAAGTGGTTTCACCCCATGGAGGTACAGTATATTCTTAGTGGAGGGCTCTCCGAAGGCACTGGGTTGACGCAGGAGATATAGCTCAATTTAATGAAAGAGTCTGGCTCAGTAATGACCCCAGTGATTCATATATTCGTAAAGGAAATCAATCCCACATCAGCTAAGTGCAGAAACAGGATCTTCTGCAGCCTTAAATCTTGGCATTGGGTAATATACGCTAAACTGTAGGTTACATTAAACTGGAACATGTCATTGATGTGCAGAATAAGACAGATGAAGTTCATTACAGAGCTGAAAACAGGTATGAAGACAAAACATTGACTCCAATAACGGGCTGTAGAGAGAATGTAAAATGCAGGCCCAAGGCAGTGCTTTGTCAGACTGGACCGTTGTGCCACCAGACTGTTGTTCTTTCCATCTATGATTTAACACAGCCGAGCACGGCTAGATGGCACCCAGGAGAGGACTTGATTTTCATGTTTGCCAATCTTCCTCTATACCTGCCCGTGGTGACCATAAATATACTTTTATGCCTCCCGGAGAAATGCTTAAAGAAGCAGTTTGTCCAAGTCCTGTATGGACTCGCATGGCAATATTCTTGATTGATGACAACGGCAAAAGTTTAGAAGACGCCCCGGAGACTTTTCCAATCTCGTTTGTTTGGGAGTTTTACATTTGAGCATAATTCCCCCTCCGTTGTATTTATGTGGGTTTGGACTCCTCTGCTCTAAGTCTTTTGTTCCCACAGTTCACTAATGAGGCAGAGCACCACCAGTGGCCATGGTCATCTCAAAAGGGCATTTTGTGGAGGTCTGAGACGCGGTCACCCCAGAACAGCAGAGTGTTTAAAAAGATTTTAAAAGATCTCCAGGAAACCTTTAACATGCTTGGCCAGCTGGTAATGGGCAAATAAATTGCTCTTGGTCAGTTAACCCTTTTCAGGATCATTGATGGATTTAGGCTGCATATCATCACTGTTGGGCAAAACTGTAGCTGCAACTAGCAATTATTTGCTTTATAGGTTAATCTATATTTTTTGTAATTAAATATTTTGTTTATATTTTATCTCAACATTGTCAAAAAAACTTACATGGAGATTAAAAGTAGCTTTCATGATTAAAAAAACGGACAAGTGAAGAAGCTTTTGCATTTAAAAAGTTAACCAGGATTAGTGTTTAAATAAGAATAACTTAAAATGCAGAGCAAGCACAGTGCACACTAAACTGGCACTCACTTGTAAAATTACTGCTCCATAGGGTTACTCGTAGTCAAAACCTCCACATTAGTTACAATAAAAATTAGAGCTCAGTTGACAGAATATTAACTGGGGACTATTCGGATCCTTGAATAACTGTTTTAGTAAATTTTTAAGCAAAAAAAGCTAAACATTGCTGGTTACATGCTTCTTAAATGAGAGACTTTAGTGCTTTTCTTTGTCAAACATGATGATAAACTGAATAATTTTGGATTTTTGCACTGTTGGTCAGATAAAACATACCATTAGAGCACATGACCTTGGGCTCTGGGAAAACACATTGAGCATGTTTCACTATTTTCTAACATTATGTTGACAAAACAAATTCTGTCTTCTTCATAACTGCTGTTTAAAGGAAGCATATTTAATAAAAGGACTAGTCTGAGTGTTGTTACCACCTTGCCACCTGCTTAACCCCTCTTCAGTCTGCACTTAACAAAGACTGACCAACTGGGAGGTCCACATACTAAATGGAATGACCCTCCGCCAAAATAAAACCCAGCAGTACAGCTAAACATAGAGAAGAGGCCCTTTAGCTTTTTCTGGAATTGATATATGGTAGCAGCATGACGTAGTGACGCAATCCCACCCAGCAGATCTAAACTCTCATAAATACCTCCCTTCACAGGGCAGGGTGGGTCAGTGCTGGAATTGGTTGGCATTATTTTTATACAACAAACTCTCCCCTTATGCACAGTATGTAATTTCTGCTGTGAGTGGTCTGTCAATCAAAACAATAATAAAATCTTACCTTGATGACGTTGTGAAGAAGCATGGGATCATGGGAGTTGTTGTCTTCGCTGTTTGACAACCACCATTGCAGATGAAAATCTGTCGAAGAAAGACAGAAGTCATGTCTATTGACGAGTTAATGTATTAAAGTTTTATTCATGTTACATCATTCCTTTCTAATGAAACAGCTGCATGTAACATCAGTCAACATGATGTTTACTTGCTAACTTTTCATTAGATGAGTCGACTTCCCATACAGCTACTGTTGCTAATGCTGTGTAGCAAATTTAATTATGAGGTTGTCCTGCAATCATACTAATAATAACTGAATGAGCTTGTTGTAATGTGATAACTTCACCGTAGGCATTCGCTTGGGGGCTACAACTTGCAATCAAAGACTAATAAACTGAGATATTTAAGTGTTTGTTTTCCTTATGTTTTGTCTGCACAGCACCAGCGTTATTACTTTGTGTGTGATTTTCATACTTTTCCCATGTTGTGTTAAATGTCATTATTGGAAAAATATTTTTATTAATAGAGATACTGATTTCAATCACTGCACTGACCCCTAGATTCAAATTTAGTCTAACTTTTTTATCTATCAAATGTCACTAATGACACTCATCAACAACTTGGGCCTTGATGTCACCACTTTATTCTTATGTGAAAGCTATGTTGATTAGGCAGTGACACAAACAGGGCTATTTTGATACACAGGATTAAATTCATTAATTGCTGTCATCACATCAATCCAAGGCTACATTAAAGAAGATGACACCCGGGCAGAAATAACAGCTTTCAACAAATACTGTATAAACGATGTCACTTCTAAAACAAGCTAACAGCTGTTGGAAAGTGAAGTGAGTGGAGAGTGTATTGTTCTATAGGAACAAATAGAAATGAATGTCGCAGTGCCCAAATTTACGTACTGGTGTAAATCAGTCTTTTCCTGCACTGCTGATGTTTCCATGACTAGGACTTAATTAATAACTGTCCACGCTAAGAATACACTGAGGGGAGGAAAGTTCATTAACCTGACCCACGTGTTTCTAAAAGCAGTAGGATGCCAACTATTCACGATTGCTGATATAAAAGGCCACGTGTAGGAGGAAAATAAACACACAAATAGGCTGTTGCGTTTATTTTTCCTTCCTTGTGACATATGAGCATTGCATGCTACAAGTTAGAGTATGTAAAAAATAGTTAGCAAGCAAGCAAGTCAGAATAAATATCTAAAAGTGTAGGATACATTGCTAGAAAGCACAAATGCAAACTTGAGCAGACCTAATGGAAACAAAGTTTAAAAAAAGAGACCAAACCACAACATAGACAATTTCAGGATTACCACGTCTTGTATGAAAAAATGGCATAGAATGGGCATTACAGTACATACTATGCAACGGTAGAAATGTGCCCACTGGTAGAGATTTGGCTTTACCATTTATACTCAAGCCCTCAGTAACAGCACCAGGCTCTGAAGCAAATTAGACATAATGGCCTAACTGTGGAATAACAACTTTTCAGTTCGTCAGGTGATGTCACTGGGCCCAAAGACATTTTTCCATAGACTTACATTGTGAAAGAGGTGACTTTAAATCAGTGAATATCAATCAATCAATTTTATTTATAAAGCCCAATATCACAAATCACAATTTGCCTCACAGGGCTTTACAGCATATGACATCCCTCTGTCCTTATGACCCTCGCAGCGGATAAGGAAAAACTCCCCCAAAAAAACCCTTTAACGGGGAAAAAAAACGGTAGAAACCTCAGGAAGAGCAACTGAGGAGGGATCCCTCTTCCAGGACGGACAGACGTGCAATAGATGTCGTACAGAACAGATCAGCATAATAAATTAACAGTAATCCGCATGACACAATGAGACAGAGAGAGAGAGAGAGAGAGAGAGAGAGAGAGAGAGAGAGATGCAGGTAATGACAGTAGCTTACAACAACA